CTGTTAACATGCACTGCTAAGATGAAAGAGAGGACGTGTGGGCTTACTGATGTTTTTATTTGCCTTCCTGGAACAATTATCTCAATAAGAAATAGTGTAGTCCATTTGTTCTAAATCCAAAGTTTGATCTATGAGTTTTGGAACTCAATATTTCTAGTGCATGCAAAGCTTATAAGAAGTGCTACATTGTTCAAATAAGATGCTGTCATACTTGGCCTTCATTTTACTAAAGGGGAATCAGGCTTACAGAAGTAAATAGTTAATTAACAAACATGAAAAAGCATTTCTTAGTCAAGTAAAGAAAGCCTGGTGGCTAACACCCACGGGGAACTCCAGTGCTTGATAATGCACTTGTAATAGGGAAGAACTTTTGTATTCTATCAATATTCTGAGTTAGTTACTGAAGGGATGTTGTATATAAGCTTAAGTTATACATAATGACCAATATCTGGGAACCCTGCCTCCCGAGTAATGAGCATCAAGCTAAAATACCTTTGTTCAGCTCAGGAAACATCCTGACCAGGTTCAACCGGTAAATGACGGCAGGGAGGAAGAAATTAACAAATTCCCTCTGGAAGCTGACTAGAACCGGGGAATGCTTGACATTACTTCTTCCCCTTTTAGTAAAAAGAAGCCTGAATTCTAACTTGCACAAGATGATTCTTTGAGGCATGAGTTCATCATATTGTCAGTTTGCTGGCTTTCCAAATAAAGTCACTATTCCTTGCCCCAATAGTTTGTCTCTCGATTTATTGGCCTGTTGTGTTTGTGTGGTGAGCAGTACAAGCTTGGACTCAGTAACACACTGGCAAAATACATACTATTATAACCCCTTTTTCACATATAAAGGATTGAGGCTTGAAATATCTGCCCCAGGTCAGAACTTTTAAATCACAGAGACAAAAGCTGAACTCAGCTTGTCTGTCTACCTCTGTGCTTCAATCTGATACCAGACAGCACAGAATGCTTTTGGTAGTGCTACTGCCTATGGCCACAGTTACTACTCAAGCAGTTCACAATTGCAAAATTGATCGAAAAAGGCATAGAATCACTGTTAATCACCCTTAGCCAATGCTTCCACGCATCAGGGCTGACCTAGTCCCCTGGTAGAAGATAGGTCTTACATCCACGTGTCAAAAATCTCTGAGAGCAGCATTTAGTCATCACCTCCATCTATGATTCATAGGATTTTCATTCTACACTAGGAACTCAAAGGAAGAAGGCAGGGTAAGCTGTCTCTTGAGTCACTGGGAAAGTTCACTTGAGCGTTTACCACTATGGTTTGATTTGTTTGCTGTTTTTTTTTGTTTGTTTGTTTTTGTTTCAGTTTCTGAACTAAAGAACCCTTTGAGAAAATTATTTACAATGCAGATCTCAGACTTTATCCTAAATGATTCAGTAGGTCAAGAGTGGTGCCTAGGAATGTGTATTTTCAAAGCTCTAGAAATGTAGAGGTTCCCTGACCCCTACTTCTACCCTCTTCCAGGAAGCAACCACTTTAGACTCTTTTAAAAGTTTCATTTGGCATGTACACACCTCTACCCTTGTCCAATGCTATCAACGTAAGTTATAAAGTGTCAGGGGTCTTATAACCCATATCTCAGATTGGCTCTGGTGTTTTACATTAGATATCAAATAAATATTTATTAAGAACTTAGAGGAAGAAACATAACGTCTTTTTTTTTTTTTTTAGTTTTAAACATGAGGCTAGACTTTATTATTTAATGCATTAATAAAGAAGGACATTTACCATATTAACATTGTGTTTTTTAACATTTTGATAACTATTCTAAATGTAACTGGTTTCTTTTATCATCCCAGGCACTTTATTTTATATATTCAAAAGCATTATTCTGAATAGGGGTCATGGGCTTTTCACCAGGCTGCCAAAGGTGTCCATGGGCCTTGGTTACACACACACACACACACACACACACACACACACACACTGATCCTTGATCCTCATTGAGAGTGGGGGCAGCCTTTCCCTGGAACCAGAGCCCCTGCCAGGTCCAGGCAGCCCAATGCTCTGAGCATGTTGAGGAAAGTAAACCACTCCTGACACATGACAAAGATACTGCTTTGAGACACATAACATTTATTAAGACCCTACTATGTGCAAGGTCTTTATACACATCTTATTGAATACTTACTATCACTGTGTGATGCAGGTAGATCCTCAGGTCACAGATTCAAAGAAGACAGATATGGGCTTGAACCCAATCCAGTTTCACAGACAACCCGGTGCTCATCTCAGTAAAGCACAGTGTATAACTCTGGTGGAATCCTTGACCTCAAAGAGCTTCCTATTTGGGAAATAAAAAGGATAGAAGATAGGGAGAAGTCTTAGGAGGAACTCCCAAGTGTAAGTTATCCTACATGTGTTTATTTCAAACTTTCTCTAATCCTGGCCTAATGCTAAGCACTGGAGATACCATATGAAGGCCCTTACGCTCTATATTCCCCAAACTCTGGGCTGCAGAGATGCCAGAATGAATGAATCTAGAATGAAGACACTGAAGAATTGCAGATGCAAAACTTGAGCTCCAAAGCTGACGACTAGCCTGTCTTCCAGTTGAAATAGGAAAACTCATATGATGCTACCCAGCCCAAACAGTCACTAGTAGATAATGAAGCAAAGATTGCCACATGTACTTGAATGGTAATCAGAAAGCTTCTGCCCACTTCACTTCCAAAAACTCTAACCGTATAGAAAAAAATTCCATCCTAATAGAACACTCCTCAAAGACTGTCTAAATAGGTTCACCTTCCTCTTTATAAAATGTACTCTTTTTTCCAAACCCTTTCAAGTCTCGGCTGGAAAGAAAGTGATAGTAGCCAACTCCCTTGCCATAGTACTGTCTGAATAAGCAGACTTTGATGAATTCTACAGGTGGTCTGCTTCCTTCTGTCAACATGTTCAAAGCGCTCACCAAGTTTAAACATTCAGTCTGCAAACATTAATAAGAGTCTTTTCTTCATATTGACTAGATGGCAGAACCCAATACGAGTAATGAGGATGAAGTGGGAACTCAGATTGACTCATGTCAAGAGGAGGGTATAGTCAGATTCCCAGCTTTGGGGTCTGCTCCCAAGCTGTGACCCTGGGCAAGTTACATTTCTTTCATGCAGTTACCCCTCTGGTAAAATGAGAATAACAGCATCATCCTTTACAGGGTTCCTGTGAGGATTAAATGACCCATATTCAGAGGCAGCTGAACTGAGTACATGTAAAGGAATGAACATAAGTTTGACAGTGAAAAAAAGGGATCTGTGAGTTGATACTGATACAAGTGAAAACAACAATAAAGAAAGAGGGATTTCCCTGAAAAAATAGTGGTTGGGAATCTGCCTTCCAGCTGGGCAACTAAGCCCCAATCAGCAAGATCACAAGATCTGGAGCCTACTCTCCACAAAGAAAAGATCTTGTATGCCGCAACTAAGATCTCAAGTGTGGCAACTAACACCCGACAGAGCAAAAAATAAATATTTAAAAAAAAGAATAAACAAACGTGGGGGACAGTAAAGCTCTTCTGAGTAGAACATAAACTATAGAAATGTAGAAAGGAATGGAATTAGATAATCATGATTTTTGAAACCACCACAGTAAAAACTGATTTAAGAAATAATCATCAATGGATATGAAATCTAGCCAGTAAAACTATGATTAAGAATGGGCTATAAAGCTACATATCTATATCTATAAAAAAAAGGGATTGAGGCAAAATGTAAACAAGTGCTATCAATAAATCTGGGTAAAGGATATTTGGGGGTTTTGGGATAATATTCTTGCAACTTTTCTGTGGATTTAAAAAAAGAAAAAAAAGGATAGCTCAGTTGGTAAAGAATCTGCCTGCAATTGCAGGAGACCCCAGTTGGATTCCCGGGTCGGGAAGATCCCCTGGAGAAGGAAAGGGCTACCCATCCCAACAGTCTGGCCTAGAGAATTCCATGGACAGTACAGTCCGCGGGGTCACAAAGAGTGGGACACAACTGCGCAACTTTCACTTTCAAAGAAAACTAGCAGAAATAGTTGTTCAGTTCTGTTAAATTTGTACCTTTTCTCATGATCATAGGCTCAAGAATAAAGTAAGGTTAAAAATTCGAAAATGACACTTTATAGGGTTGGGAGAAGAAAGCATGAGTTTGAAACCCATTTTCAATCCTTATCAGATCTGTGACCCTCAATAAGCAAGGAAACTTCCTTGTGTCTCAGTTTTTTTCTTCTGCCAAATGGGGATTTTTTTCATTGGTGCCTACTGGAAGGCTTGCTATGAACACTAAACGAGTCCTTATTTGTAAAGTGACTGCCACATATTAAGCATATTTGCTAGCTATTTTTATTCCACGGACAGTGCTTGGAGTCATGTAAGCTCCAAGTAAACTCTTGGTCTTACTTTGGCGACTACACGTTTAAAATCCTTCAATATCTTTGTCTAAATCTTCACAAAGAGACAAAGTCTCACTAAAGCGTAGAGAGAGGACCTCCATTGACCTCTTCAGATCTGCTTGCTTCTCCCTTACTCCCTCAAGGTTCACCTCAAACACCGCTTCCCTACAGAATCCCCTGAAGCCCCAGGACCAGAGCAGAGGCCTATCCCTCACTTGGTATCCCTTACGGGCCGCTCCTCAGAACACTCCCTGGAACCGGCAACAGGCACTGGCCTCTCGCTCCAGTGCACTTTGTAAGTCCACGACCGCTGGGCTCGGGGTGGGTTTTCGCTCACATTGTGACCCGCGGTAGCGCGGAGAGGAGGCTCCAAATGCTGAAAGTGAATTTGGGGCCGAGGTGGCGGTCGTCGTGGGGGACGCAGGGCTTCGACAGGTGCTCCCTCAGGAGTGTGGCCGCGTCCCAGGGTCACCAGGCGCGCCCGGGCGGAGGGGGCGGGGCGGGCGGCAGGCGGCGGCCGGCCCCGCCCCTTCCCCCTCCCTTCCTCTTCCAGCCCCCTCCCGCCCTGCCGGCACCCCGTCAGGATACCCTCGCTGGTTTCCTGGATAAGATGGCGGCCCCAGTTGGAGCGCAGGCCCGGAAACTTCTGAGAGACCTGGCGCTCCGGCCCCCGCTCCTGGCGGCCAGGTCCCAGGTGAGCGGACCCCTTGGTGGGGGCCTCGAGCAGGCGTTGGTCCCCTTCCGTCCCCTTCTGTCCTCCTCTTCCTGGTCCCGGGTGCGCGGTCGCCGCGGCGCCACACCTGTGGCGAGGACGCGCGGTGCGGCGTTTGGGGCGCACGAGGGACCCCAGCACCCTCTCCTTCAGGTGTGGGAGACAGCCGGGGCCACTTCAGAGTGAGAGCCACCCAACTCTCAGTTGTCGCTGACCTGGGTTCCCTCAGCGCCGGGGAGGGCGCCGGGCCCAGTACCGGGCGCTGCACCGGCAACTTCAGGAAAAGTTCCTGGAAACGGGGTTTGAAGTCCTGAGGTGTTATTGTGTTGCCAACACACACACACACACACACACATACACACGGGGTTTGAAATCCTGAGGTGTTATTGTGTTGCCAACACACACACACACACACACACACACACACGGGGTTTGAAGTCCTGAGGTGTTATTTTGTTGCCAACACACACACACACACACACACACACACACACACACACGGTTTGAAGTCCTGAGGTGTTATTTTGTTGCCAACACACACACACACACACACACACGGGGTTTGAAGTCCTGAGGTGTTATTATGTTGCCAACACACACACACACAACCAAAACACAACCTAGAAGTTGAGAAATAAATTTTTTTGAGGCATTTATTGAGGACTGTATCCTGAGGAAGTTTTTGGATAGCTCCGAGAAATTGTTGGAAAGAGGTAGGGGAGGAGCCAGGATTTATAGGAGTTTTTGCTGGAAAACAAACAAAAACCAAACCTTGTGGAAGTTTAAAAGGTTAAGATTAATCACAAAATATAGATATGACAAGTTAGTTATTTTGATGCTTTTCTCCATATGGAAGGTGTAAGAGTCTGGCATATTGAAATTATTCCTTTGATATGCATCTTAACCTTATCTCGGACCTGTTTACTGTTCCTCTGAATCCTCAGTTCTCCTCAGGGTGCACTGTATGGGGCCCCTGCAGTGGCTGCTGATTTGATGGTAGGCGACATGACCGCTTACTAAAATGTCGGTAAAATTTTTTTCTTGTCCTGTTATCTGTTCTGAGGTAACTGCCAGTCCTCAGTTGCCAGTCCTGCTTTTGAACCCATTTAACAAATGGCCATGTGATGAAGGTACCTAGAAACCCACCCCAGCCTTCCTGGTTTAGTAACTCACTTCCTGGAGTGAGCTGCCTGCATTTGCAGACTGGCAGGGTTGGGTGTGGGTGTGGGGCGCTGAGTTGGTGAAACGAGGGGGTCAAGGAGAATAATGGGAAACGGCCTTCCTCAATTTAGTGAAAATTCAGTCCTGTCAATGGAACACATTTGAGTATTGTCCTTGACCTCTTTCTCCTTGTTTCTAGAGAATAAAGTCCTAGGAGGGCCAGTGATGGACACTGAATAGCTATTAGAGCTTGACCTCTAGGAGAGTTTACTTTCTGTAGGTGGCAAGAGCCATAGTAGCCAGAAGGCCTTTGGGGAGTTATGAGTTGGTGATGACTCTTGGAGAAATGACTCAACTACTCAACTTTTTATTCTCCATTAGAAATATTTCTTCCCTTTTGAAGAAAACACTATGGGGCTTGGCCACAGCACAGCCTTGTCCTTGTCCCCATTTTTAATTGATGAGAGACAAATGATCATTCGTGCAGTTTTATCTAGGATGTGCATAGTATGTTTTTTTTTTTTAATTGAAAGATAGCTACTGATGATTTTTTGAGTTACTCTAAACTTTGGTTAATTATGACATCTGAGTTTTTTTTTTTCCCTTTTCCTGACTTCTCATTTGTATGTTTTTGTTAATGCAAATTTAAAAGGTGCTAATAACATTACTGTAATATCTTTAACAGGTACTTGACAGTATGGTAAGATAGCAAAGGGAATGGTGGCTTTTGTCTAATTAAAATCACTAATAACCGTTGTAATAGAGTAAGGGGAATATCTCCAGGTGATTAAGTTCCATTCATTAAATGTTAGGAAAAAACCAAGAGCTGTGGTGCTAACTCTGAGAGTAGACTTGAATTGATGAGACACATGAGGCCTAAGGCAGTGAAAATTCGAGCAAAAGAAGTAATTGTGTAGAAAAATTCAAGTGTTTAGCTGAAGTATGATAAGGCTTCTTGCCTTAGCAAGAAATGGGAGCCTGAATACAACATTTTAGAAAATCTGGTGGGGGATACCCTTGGTTTGGCAAAAAGACTGGGTAAAAGAATCTTCTACCTCACTCTGTCTGAAAACTTTGATTTACGTAATTGTAGATGAAGTGTTGTCCTGTGAACACACACTTAGGAGATGAGAATTCTTTTTTTTTTTTAAAGTCAAGAATAGTACACAGTGTTCAAGAACTGGAAATGGGCATTAGCAGGTATCTGATCCAAAAAACTCATTTCACAGTTCGAAAAATGGAGCACTAAAGAAGTTCAAGGACTTGTTCAAGGTTATAAAGAGAGTTTGTGGCAGAGCTGATTCCAGGTTAAAGGTTTTCTTTTCAGTTTCCATTATACCAGTTTCTGATAGAAGTTTCTTCATGAAAATACATTATACCAGCATGTAAGTTAGTCTGCAGAGCACAGAGTAATTAACCATGACCAATACTACTGATCCATTTTAATTTTCTTCTTTGTAAACATCTTAGAAAAAAATAGATGTTATGTAAGGAGCCCTTTTCATATTATTCGGTGTTTCTTTGTATCTGCTCCACCTGTCAATGCATTTATGTTGTGTTTACTTACTGCCCAGGGCAGACATTACACTTGAATAGGACTCTGTTTTTCCAGGAAACTTTAGAATCCTCCCGAAGTGACTCAGAAATCGGTTGCTATTCTTGGCTCAGACCTACTTTGTGCCGTGCCTTGTGCAAAACTTTTGTGTGTACAGAGATATAAGACCCAGTTTCTCATATATGCATCAATATACGATACATGTTTTTCTGACTTACTGCACTCTGTATGACAGACTGTAGTGATGACCTAGATGGGTGGGATGGGAGGGGGTAGGGAGATCTAAGAGGAAGGGGATATGTGTGTACTTAGAACTGGTTTACTTTGTTGTATAGCAGAAACTAACATAACATTGTAAAGAATTATACTGTTAAAAAAAAAAAAGACCCAGTTTCTGCTGTGAGAAGTAACTTCAACCAGTCTCACAGAGTGCCATAGAATGACATTATCTATCCCCTCCTCATAGTTAAATTTGCCACATATTCTTATGGCTCCCCTTGTGGCTCAGCTGGTAAAGAATCTGCCTGCAATGTGGGAGACCTGGGTTTGATCTCTGGGGTGTGAAAATCCCCTGGAGAAGGGAAAGGCTACCCACTTCAGTATTCTGGCCTGGAGAATTCCATGGACATACAGTCCATGGGGTGGCAAAGAGTCGGACACGACTGAGTGACCTTCACTTTCACTTTCCTAATGCTTAGTGTCATTGACAAACTGGAGGTAGTGAAGGACGGGGAAGCCTGGTGAGCTCCAGCCCTTGGGGTCACAAAGACTCGGACACAGCTGAGCAACTGAACAACAACAAATGTTGTTGACATTTTGTTTTCTCTGTTGTTGGGCCCCACATAGTTAGCACCACAGTTCTTGTTTTTTTCCCTAACACTTAAATAATGACTCTTATTTGATGTTAGATCCTTAAAGGGCCACCCTTTTGCCATTTATTTTACATGTATTTTTTTCTATTCAGTTTCTACCTGGAAATAGGCTGTTTGAAGTGCTGATATTTGGGGATGGTAAATAAGACAGGTAGAGATCTTGGCCACATGATACTGCATTTTAATAGGGGTGGGAAATGGCTAGACTGTACTTACATAAACAGTAATGAAGATGATTTCAGTCAGTGACATGCTATGAAGAAAGTAAAACAAGGTCTTGGGGTAGAAAATGAATAGTCTAGCCCAGATGGTGTGTCATAGATTAGTTTATCAAGGAAAACCAATTTGACAACTTGTTCTTTTTATTGTTTTGGTTTAATTTTTTTATTGCAGTGTAACACATACACTAAAAATATGCATGTTATAAGTGAACAGTTTGAGTTTTCACAAACTGAACGTGTCCAGGTGAGCAGATCCATATCAAGAAATTAATCATGTAGCAGCAACTCAGAGGACACCCTTGTGCTGTTACAGAACTACTACTGAGAAAAGAGTGGTCTCCTGAGTTAAGTCACCACACAGTGCTCTTGTTTTGTACTTTAAGTAAATGGAATTATATGCACTCATGTGATCAACATCATGAGATACTGGAGGTGGCATTTTCACATTTGAACTGAGGCCTGAGTAATGAAAAGTAGCCAACCAGGTGACTTGACATTCTGGGGAAGAGAGGACAGCAAATGCAAAGGCCCTTAGGTATGGCCTGAACTCAACATATCCAGACCATTAAAGAGGTGGAATGTGATAGTACTAGTCATGGTGTGTAAGGTAGCCAGGGCCTGGATCAAGTGGGGTCTTGCAGGGCCTGGTAAGGAGTTTTTAAAAACTTAAAGTTCTTGCATGACTTACCCACAGTTTTTCAGCTAGTAAAAAAATAGCTGAATCCCAGTCTGGCTGCCAAAGGCCAGGCATGTAATTATAGTGCACTATTAAAAATAGCACAATATAGCAAGGCACAGCCTTATTGGGCACTGAAATGAGCCCGTTACATTAGTCATGTCTTAGGAGAAGTCTTGATTGAGGGCACTGTGTTTAAATGTTTAATGGTAATCTAATCATGGTATTTAGCTTTTTAGTATGTTTACCCTCTCATAATGGTTGGGTGAAGTTCACAGAGCTGTTCTGTTGTAGGAGAAGCAGAGACTTTGTGGGAGAGACTGTCCCTAAGGCCCCTAGCTGTACAGTCCTTGGTGTGTGTTTCTCTATAAGGCCCACAGCTTCTGTCCAGGAACTCAGGGAGGAATGTAATGTGCCTTGTTGAGGGAAATGGAAACCATGCCCCTGCTGTTATATACCTTACAATAGATGACTCTGGCTTGATTTTCTGCTCTTTC